CAATTCATGTGAATATGACTGAAAAATTTAAATTTTTCTGAAAAGGTGGTGTATATTTACTTGTGACCACGCTGTGTACAATATTGGGATTTCATTGTTTTTTCTTTACCCCTTTCTTGTTCATTAATTTAGATATCTTAATCTTTAAGTTATAGTTCTTATTTTCTACTTTTTCCTAATTCTTTCCCATGAAATTGATTCAAAATAATCCCATTCTAATGTAGTGGTAATATTGCTGAGATATAACCGTAGATAATAAATTTCTATTTTGATGTTTGCTATTTCCCATGTTCTTTCTTTAATAACAGCACTGAGAATGTTTAGTTCAGTCTGTTGTTTAATAAAGTTAACTTTTTTACTTTTGATGTTACAACTTACTTTTATCGAAATTGGTATTCCTCTGTTACATTTGCAGTCCTGGAAAAACCTTAGTTGAAGTAAATGGTTGTGTAACTTCCACTGTATGGATGTCAAGATGTTTGCCTTGTGACCCATTGATAGTTCATCATAATTTCTTTTCAGGCACATTGTGCTACTATATTAAGAGTAAAAAACAAAAAAATTGATGTTTTTTTGGCACAATGGAAGACAAAATATTTATTATTACTTACAGCCGACTAGTTTCGGTAACACAGTTACCATCATCAGAGCTAATATCTATAGTGTTAGCTTAGAATATATTCAGCTACAAACCGTCAATGGGCGAGTTCATTTTTAAAAACAAGAGGTGAAAAATAAATCATAAATGTGTTATAAATACCAGTCAGCTGTATGTAATAATAATGATTTTACCTTTCATTGTGCCAAAAAACATCGGCTTTGTGTTTTTTACTCTTTTTCTAACAATCTCATTTTAACACGTGTAACAGTGTGATAATTCATGATAAGTTTCATAGATCGATTACTTCCTTACAGAAAGTGAACTTTTAATAAGTCACATTTACTCATGATTCTTTCTCCAACTGTACATCTGTTTTCCAAACTTCTTGACACTTTTAAGTCAACACTAAAGTATCAAAATAGAAGCTAACCTCTTGTAGTTTATAGTATTAAAACAAAATAACTGACTAAATATACAACATAAAGGTTGAAGTTCACAAAATGCAATATACTTTCACAGAATATAAATAGATTAAGTAATCTAATTTTATAGTACAATCAGTTTAATTTACTGCTCTACATTGTTTTAAGTCATATAATCAGGATTTTATGATTCCTGCCAAATTACAGGTTTTTATGGAAGTGTATTATGCCATGGTTGCAACAGACTTTCAGGAAACTAGCATGATACTTCACAAACACAACTAACAAGATATCAAATATTCTAAAAATATATGTTTCACGTCTGTATGTTTATATATATATATATACATTTCACCTTACACAAAAGCTTTAGGTGAATGTAGACTTAATTAATAATAAATAGCAAAAGGTTTTCGATAGAATGCTGTCTTTTGTTCTGAAGTTGTAGCATCTAAGTATACCTTTTTTATTCTTTGCTGTTTGTTATGAGTTACACATAAATAACACGTAAAAAGTTTAAAGATATTTTTAGATCATTATTTTTGGATGGTATATATGCATTAGACCAGCATAATAGACGTTTATTCACATACCAAAAATGGTGCCGATATCCACAGAAATACATTGACAGCATTTAAGTATGCTATCTTCTTCAGATCTTGTACCTCACTCAGACGGATATTTAGAATTTGTTGTTGAAATGGTTCTTCCCATGCATACAGCTTTAAAACTTTAATCCCATTCAGAACTTCATTCATTAGTTTTATCCTCTGATCTTTTGTTTTCATCTGTTTGGCCTAAAAATGCATAATTACAGCACATTGAAAAGTTTTTAAAATTAGTTTATGTGTTCAATAATCTTGCTGGAAATGCCAAAAATTCAAGTTATTGATTTGCATCTTTATAATTTATAATATATTTTTTTAAATTATTCATTACACTCTCAATATTTAACACCAAAATCACTACTTTTATACAAATTGACACTTCTTTCTCTTTCTTCTGCCATATTAAACACCATATTCCAGTTTGTTTACAGAGAGTAAAAATATCATATATAAAAGTATTTCCTCCCAAAACTAAACTACTTTTACAAAGCAGCCATTCTTTCAATAACGTTTTTTCTTCAAATTACCAACTTGTTTTTATACTGTTCCCTAGTGATAGAATCCACATAGTTATTATAATGGGTATTTTAGCCGATTACAATACTTAATGTAAAATCCTGAAAAAACTGGGTAACATTGCTTATTTTCTAGGCAAGATACAATGCACCAACAAATTGGATTAGTTGCAATATCGATGATATTTTTGTGTGACTCATACATTATTATATACCCTATAACAAACAGTCATGGATCCACAAGCAATTTGGACCATAAATACTTTATAAAAATGTGTTTAAAAAGGCTTGTGGAGTCCATCAGTAATTATAATGTTATTCTGAAATTTTAAAATTTCATGCTTATTCTTTAAAATTTCACTAACTTCTTAAATAAAAAATGCACAAAAAATTATCTAATTCTAAAATGATACCAGTAAATGGAGTGTTCAGGAGAGTAAAGTACAAAATACTCTTTCTCAAAAGTAATCATACATCATTGAAGCAAATTTTTAGAAACAAGCAAATCAGAAGATTCTCATGCAATGTTTGATGCATCTGTTTTGTTTCTTAAAATGTTTTTAGACTAAAAGTCTTCCCGAAGAAATTATTCACTGGATTAATTTTTTTTAAGCTTTTATACACTCGTGACTCATCATCAATTATTTCAAACATATTTCTCCAAATTTTACCATACTGATGCAGCTTCCAGAGATAGTGAAAAATTATGTAAACAAACCTGTAATTTTCTTGAAAAACTGGCTATTACTCCATTAAGAGGAATCATAAGCACCATAAGACCAACACCAGCAAAGACAGCTGCCCCCAACACATTCCACAAAAAGTACATAGCGAGGATTATTTGTAAAGGAGCTGACCAAAGCAGATTTAGGAAATTCATAAGGTCCATAATTCGTTGAGCATCCACAGACATAAGGTTAACAACTTCTCCTACAGTAGATTTTCTATATGCAGCATTAGACATTACAAGAGCCTGAAAGATATTATACATTATAAAGAAACGTTTAACAGGAGATTTTGTTTTAAATTCGTTGTTTGAGAATATAAGCTATAATCTATAATATGAAATATCTTATACGGTATAAAACTTTTATATAGCACTTTATTATATAAAATTACTTAGCCCAACTTGTTACATTTTTGTGTGCAACACAGCCAAAGAGACCATAGAAAAGACATATGATGTTACATAACTCTTCTAATGACACTTTATCATGTTATGCAGTCCAACTGACCACACTATCATGTTACATAGCTTAGACTTAACATAGAACAGACACTATTATGTTACATTACTCAATTAACACTGAACAGATTCACTGTCATGTCAAATAGTTCAGTAGATGTCTTTATGTTAATTATTTTAGTTTAAAAGTCTTAAGAAATATATATAAAAGAGTAAGGTTGATTCCAACAAATTCTAAAGATCTGTTTTTAAAGAACAAGACTCAAAGAACTTAAAAATACTTTATATTAGAAAAAATTACGATGAACGCGTGGTCAAAAGTGCCTACCTTTCGGTAAATTGCAGAGATTATGGTTGTACGCATTCTCATTCCAACAATATACATGTGATGATAATAAAATGACAATGTGAGAGATTGGATAGATGAGGCAACAAGCATCAAGACAGCATAAAAAATTCCCTTCCACACAGGTTCATTACTTGAAACAAATCCTATTAAAAGCCTGAAAAAAAGTTTTAAACAAAAAAGAAGAAGGTATTTTGCATAATAGCCACATAGTTACATTAACATTATATTTAGATAAAATGTGAAGGTTATAGCTATACAAGCATAATTCTCTCAATTGGCTTAAAAAAGTAGATTTTAGTATTTAAAAATTCAGTTACTATTTCATTCCTATGCTACCCTATAAGAACTTCTATTAGCAAAAAACGTAAATCTCTCCAAGCTATGCTTTGCTTGAAACAGCAGTGAAACTCTAAACTAATAAAGAAAAACTAAAGGAATTATCAACCAGCTTCAAGACTTTACATACAAACATGCAACTTTCAACTCACTTTAATAGCTGTGGGTTGACAAATATGATGAGATCATGAAAAACTTTGCACAGAGAGCCATAAAGAAATAACGGAGCAAAAGTTTTCCATAAAGCTGTTACTATGTTGGGTTGAATTTTTGTTGGTGTGTGAGCGAATTTTACTTCTTCTCTGTTCTGTCTTCGAGGACTATATGTTGCAGAACTTGAAAGGCTGTAATACATTCAAAACTTTCTCTAAAATTTAAGTTCACAATTTTGGGAAATATGAAGTCTTCAATTCTTTTTTATATACTAATGCAGGATTAAATATTAATATCTATTCTAATTTTTGAACATTAAAGTATGCTGGAAGCACCTTTAAACTTTATGCCATATAAGTAAATCAAATGAAAATTAGTTTAACATTATTCTTGTAAATTTTAGGAAAGTTGCATCATCATTAGTTAAGTGTCCATTGCTTGAAAACCTAATTCTGAAGTTTACTGAGATATTTTATGTTTCAACCAAGTCACTATTAAATGTAGTGTTATATGGAGGAGTAAGCACACTTTATAAGAACAATTATTATGTGCTAATGCAATCACATGTTGCCACAATTGTGAACAATGGTGTCACAAACAACATGTTTAGAACCTATATTGTTGGTTCACAATGAACAACCATTGTCTATCTGACATTGTACTGCCACCACAGATAAGACTTGCACCTGGAGAAATATGACTCAGCTCTTTTTCCGGAATGAAACTCATATAGTGAAACAGCAAAGAGATACAAGGACCAGGGCACACCAATTTCAATGATATTCATATTTCTACAGAGGTTGGAAACTGCTATATCAAAATGATGTTGGAGTCTCATTTCATCATTGAAGTCAATATCAATATGTCCAGTTGTACTATATCTGGCAAACATGCATAATGACAATAGACCTGCTGTGTAGTTTCTTTGTGAAAGGTTATTTCACAAAGCTGTCATTTCCATCCAATGTACATCACTCCTCCCTGATGGCTTTCCATAACCCATCTAGTGTATGAGGAAAATGATTTTCCAGTGCACAATTTAACAGTATGATTTAAGAGATATCCATAGGCACTACATCCTGGAATGTATTCATATGGAACAGAACAAATATCCATTCCATTCTCCAACTGTTTGAGGTATGCAACAATTCAAGTTATATGTCATGGAAGCAACTTGCTTATATATGACTTGTCACTTTTCCAGACAGATATCCTTCTTCACTGTGTTGTTTGCTGTTGTCTATAATACATTGACAACTTGTGCCATTGACCTTCATGTTTGTGAAGTTAACATTTCCCTTAACCGAAAATGTACTTCTGATATATAGTCACTTCCACACACAGTTTAGCTATCTATCTTCCCCATGTGTCTGCATTAGAAATTTGCATGTCACTAAACTTTACACATCTTCCACTTAATTTCATGAGATTTTATGTGAATTGTGTTACTACATGATGACATCATCATGTAATAAAAGCGTTCCACTAATAGGAGGGCAACACACATCCATGCCAAATAACTCTCCCAATGCACTTGCATTTGAAAATCAAAGATGCACCAGAATGAGGGAGAATTGGTGAGAATGTGTGCAGAAGCATCTATCAGAAATACATTTTTAGGTAAGGAAAATGTTAACTCCAAAGATGATACCTCACCTCTCACACAGTTTAGCTAGAATCCTATAATGAAGTGGTGGAGAGGCTGGTGCAAACTTCACCTAGTTAAGCTTCTTTAGAAATCATCAGGAGGGAAGTCCATGGAATGTGACACCCAATGGCAGTATGTAAAGCCAGTATGTGTAGTGTGGCTGGGGCATGTTCAGACTGTCTGCTTGCCTGAACTCTACCATTAGACTTTATGGAACAAACTCCAGCTGTGAGAGGAGGGCTCATTCTTAATGTGATTGGGATTCAGATACAGTGTGCATACCTTGATCCAACTACAGACAATGGCTGCAGAAGGAGGGCACAACACATACGTATTATGGTTACATGTAGTAAGGGCTCACCTCAACTCTTCTGAAAAGACTCTGGTTGCAGAAGGAGGGCAGAGCATCATAGTGTGTGCTCACCTCAACTCAACTGAACAGACTCAGGTTGCAGGAGGAGAGCATATATAGCATGTGCTATGTATATGAAGGGTGACATGCACTACACTAGCAATGTCTCCAATGCCCCCACTTCCCCAGTCCAATCACTGAGGGTTCTCTGTGGTCCAACACTCCAGCAGCTAAGAACTGGTAAATGACAAGGTCTCCTGTGTTTCATTTGATGAAGGGTGGGGGGAATTAGCAGCAAGGAGACCCATAGAAAATGCCTGGATCCCCATTAGTCCTTCAATATGGAAATAACTTTTAATAGAGACAATGTAAAGGGTGACTGCAAAACACTATTTTTAAAAGCCAGGAAGCATGAGCCAGAGAAGTAGGCAGAACACTTCCCTGGTGCTACCTTTTATTTCCACAATAGTCTCCAAGGAATAGGTATGGTTTGGATCGGATGAGAAAAATTATATGTATACATATATACCTCGAGGATACCTCAGTGGTCTTGCAGAATACCCCACCTCATAGTGAACACATGTAGAGCCAGGGCAGATGGTATGAGCACTTTCCGTTATCCTGGCTCAATGCAGATTTGGGGTAAGTTTTCTAAGAATGACACTGGTATCCTATATAGAAGCTTGACATAATGGAAATTGTGGTGCTAGGCAATAATGCATAATCATTGTCATCAAAATGAACAATACAAACAATAAAGTAGTTCCAAAGGACCTGGAATATTTTTATAAAGTGAGATTAACCCTCCCTATAACAGTTCTCATACAATTGCAACATTTGAACTGATTAAACATGTAATCTACACATATGATAGATTTCAAGAATGTATATTCAAATCTTTAACTGATTACAGGACTTTAAGATTTTTAACAAAGAAAGCTGTAATTTGAAGCTTTAATGATGAGTGAGTACAAATATATATTTCAGCTAACTGTACTGTGACTAATAACAATATGGATTTCATAAGTTTAAGTTAATGACACATGACTTAAATAAAAAATTCACTTCAATCTATGTGAAGAAGTACTGAAATATGCAATATTAAATACAGATCTTTTAACTACTTATGATAAAAAAAGCCTTTCATTCTTGTTTCATTGAGCATAAAATTTTATGAAGTTGGTGAAACGCATTCTGTCTGTCTCTTTTAACTGTATAAATGTTTTGTTCTAAATGATCCTATGATAATGCATATCTTTGTTTTTAGTGTCCATAGGCTAACCAAACTTTATATTCACCAATGTTATAAATATAACAAGCACTATTTGTTCTTTGCTAAACAAAAATATTCTCTAACTAAATAAACTTCAGTCTGTTCCTGAGTGTTTACAGGTTAATTTGAGATGTTCTGTTCATGAATGTCTAGCTAAATACCAAACAGATGGTCTGTTTCTAAGTGTTATCCATTGAGCTAATCATCCTATTTCCAAGAGTGCTTACCATTCTTTTTGTTTCAATTTTTCATTATATTTGTTTTCTAGCTAACCACCTAAACTACTCTGCTTGTTTCTGAATGTACTCAGGCTAATTCATGTGTCCATTTCTTCATTTTTTAGGCTAACTTGTGTATGTGTTCATGTGAATTCAGTCTAGTTCATTTGTGTGTACCTGTGAGTTATAAGGCTAACTCACATGTCTATTTTTGTGATTTCTCAGATTAACTCATGTTTATTTATGTGAATTCTCAGCCTAATTTATACACATGTATATGTTTCGGTTAGTTCTGAAGCTAACTAATATGTGTTTCTGTGATTAACTCATATGCATTTCTGTAAGTACTTCTGAAGCTAACACATATATCTGTTTTTATGAGTTCTCAAAGTAATTCACATGTTAGTTTCTTGTGAGATCTCACAATAACTCATATGTGTGATTTAGGTAACTCATGTGCTTCTGTGAGTTTTCAAATTAACTCATATGTGTCTTTTTTTTTTTTTAAGTTTTCAGTCTTGCTCATGTATGCTTCTGTGAGTTCTCAGGTTAATTCATGTGTATTTCTGTTAGTTCTTAGACTAACTTGTTTGTGCTTTTTTGAATTCTCAGGCTAACTCATATCCATTTCTGTGAGTTCTCAGACTAATATATCTGAAGTAAACTTGTATATCGGCTTCTGTGAATTCTTAGGCTAACTGAGGTAGGATTTTTTGTTTCCTAAATGCTAACCAATCAGTTTCTGAGTATAGTCTGACTGTTAAAAGACATTCTGTAATTCTAATAATCATATTTAAAGTACATGGAGAAACTTAGTTTAATTTCCAATATGTAAAAAATTGTCTTTGTTTTCTCCCAGTCAGTTTTCAGATGAAAATCTAAGTTATATATATATATACACACGAAACACCAAAGAAAAAATCTTACAGGATTATAGGATCAAAATAACTCACATTTGACACCTGGATATTTGTTCTTGCCAATAACGATCAAATTTTGGCACAACATTTTCTGCTTTATCCTCAAAATTAAGAGCCCACAGGTCTGACTGTACAAGGGATCTTTTCCATCCAATGAGTGTCATCCTTTAAAAGTTTTTTTTTTTTTAATTACCTACACATAAAATTATATAAACCACATAAATATTGGCTAAAAGCTATAACAAAAATTAATTTTAGATAAATTTTAAATTGGAACTTAGGCCCGGCATGGCCAGGTGGTTAGGGCGCTCGACTCGTAATCTGAGGGTCGCGGGTTCGAATTCCCGTCACACCTATTATGCCAACCTCCGCCTTTGCCTGGTCCCAAGTCCAGGATGAGAAAGGAGGAGGGTTGGGCATGGGGCTAGCAACTCCACCCCGCAAAAACCAACCTGCTATAAGTAACTGCAACAACAACTTTCCGTTGGTGAGGTGTTGTTACGGCC